AACAATGTATGTTTGAGTTGCAAGCTGGGAAAGAAAGGATTGTGTTGTTGAGATGTCCCAACAATTATGAGAAGGGAATTTTAGTTGTTTTAACAAAAACTAAATGAAAGCAGGCATTTTATGAGAGCTTATGGGGGTTTCCAGGAGAGTGGGATCAATGCATCCTCTCCAAATACTTCAGCAGCGACTCACTGATGAAATGTCAGCCGGTCACAGTTCGGTCATTGTGCGCTACCCTCGCCTGAGATACATGCTTCACTGCGGAAGTCCCTTTTGCCACCAATGTCACTTTGAACCCCCCCTTCCCTGGCTTGTTAATGTTTTTTTTTTCCTCTATGGTTGAATGTCACCAGTGTTCTGATGACCACTTGTTGGTATGTGACCAAAAGACATTTTTAACCCACTCATTTGGGTTGCAAATTAATAACAGGCCAGAGAAGACTCAAAGACAAATCTCTTTAGAGCAAAATGTTGCTATTCAAAATCTGAAGGAATTTTTGATCTCTTTGATCTCTAAGCAACTCAAGACTCCAATTCCCAAAGTGCAGAAGGTTTTCGAGCAAGATGATGGGCATCCTTCCTGACTCGCCCAACACGGTGGTATCCATGAAACAAGCTGGACCAATTTCCATGTTGTCAGAGGATTGGGTACAGTGTCCAGAGAAGAAAGTGACAGTTCCCCTCGCTACACTCAGCTTGCTCTCCCCTCTTTGCATTGCTCTAGAAAAAAGGAAATGTTTGGGCCAGGCCTATACCAACCATCAGCAGCAGTAGGAACCTGACTAACAGACTCCCTTATATCCGCCTTCAGTTCTGAGCTGGAAATTTCACCAATAAAGAGAATGAGTTTTTATTTTTACCACTTGATCACATTATCTTCAAAGATTTCATTTACCAAACTGTAGTTGTATAATAATGTCTCCTCCTTTTATACATCAAAAAGAATAGAAATTCCAAGCAAGTCTTCTGTTTTGTTTAGTTCAAGTAGCATTATCAGAGGTAAACATAGCGTCTCTTTTGTCTTTCGATTTAAAAACTGCCTTCATAATGCTCAAGAAGCCTAAGAATTCCAGGCTGCTATCAACACCGAGTATCATTTCTAGCTTGTCATGAACTCTTATCAGAACCTTTCCTGAAAACAAGTTTTGTGACAGCATGCAGACTCCAGGGTCCAAATGTGCTGGAAGGGAAATTCTGAAAAGCAGGAAAGGAAGTGAGTTGCTAAAGACTAAGGCAGAAAATAAAAGGCCAGAGAACTAAAGACATATCTTACCCAGTCATACTTTCATTAAAGGATATTTTACATATTAGTCCTATTCATTTCAGTTGAAATAAGTACTTAGACACTCATGAGCATATCAGTGCCTAAAGCAGTGCCTGATACGTAGCAGGTACTCAATAAATATCGACAATATGGGTGACTGGGGGCAGGATGAGAGAGAGTGGACTTTTAATTCTTATATTTACTATTTTATGTTCTCTCCATTTGCCATAATAAAAAAATAATAAACTTTGCTTTTAAAAAGCAAGCAAGAAAGAAGATATCATGGCCACTTAATTAGCAGGAGAACCCAGAATCAGAGCAGCAGGGCAGAAGATGATTTTCCCAAAGCAGTCTCAGCCCCTTATAGCAATGAGCCCAGGCAACCCAGCCAGATAAGTATTGTCTTTTGTCATCATTTTTAATCTTTGAAAATCACTGATGTGCTCATGAAAAAGTATGTTACAAAGCTATTAGAGAACAAAATATGATTTTGCAATGCCAAATAATTAGCCTGAAATTTGTCTGATACAACATTATAGCTGAAAAATTAAGTGTTATTCTGGAGAATTATAACATGCCCCAAGATTAAGAGCTGCAAAATGAAATGGCACAGCAGAAGGGAAGTTTCTTTCTTTCTATATTAAAATTAGATCAGCATGTATACTGAACGGTTAATGTGTTTACTTACCCTAACGACTACAAGGAATTCTATCATAAGTCCTAATTCGAAGTTCTGCATTTATATATAACTGACCAAGGTTTTTTAACCCAGTTATCTGTGTTCATAATGACTGTCTGCTGAGAGCTGAGGAGGACACTGGTCACACAAGGGCCTGTACTCATATGAAGCTAAAGGTAGTGATTACTTGTTGATTGACCCCCGGCGAACAATGAGAAAATGAAATACAGCCAGAAAACTGAGGTCAATGCTTTATAGCATTTAAAATTAGATATGTAAATGTGCTACGTAAGTGTTAGCTTTTGTGTTATCATTATAAAATTATTTGACAAATGATCATTTTAATACTAGAAAAAGTTTAAAAGATAGACCTGGGAACAAATGTTAACTGAGTTCTCTCTGACAGCTCTGATTATTCATTCATCCATTCATTCGGTCCATCATGTCATTCAGACATACATTCTGCAAATATTTATGGCACACTACAAGAAGCTGGGTTCTTGGGACAGAATGATGACAGTGCAGGGGCCTCTCTGGTCGTGCAAGGGGTTAAGCACCACACTATGAAGCTATCCATAGCCTCTGCAGCAGGAGTTTGATCCCCGGCCAGGGAGCAATCCACATGGCTCAGCAGACCTCTCCTGTCATGCCCACTGCTCCCCTCAGCAGTGTATTTCAGTCAGTCTGCCTGTTCTGTTCCCCACTCTGTCTCTGGTGGATCCTCTCACCCCCTGCATCTCTAGCCTGTACCCCAGCTCTTGTATGTATAAATAAATAAATCTTTAAAAAAAATGATGACAGTGCAGTTAGAAGACTTTGCTTATCTTCCTTTGTGGCAGTAAATATTATGGTTGTTATTAAGAAATCAGGTTTGCAGAGATGATTCATTTCTATATATAAATTGGGACCAGATATTTTTTTCATGAACTCCTAATCTAGGACATGTGAGACTTTCCTATATGAAAAATGTTAGTAATTTAGTTTTATTCCCCAAAGTATATTATGTTTAAACTACTGCTTAGACTATATCTTAGAAGGAAAGTTGTGACTATAAGTCCTGCATTTGATACTAAATTGGCACTGCAGTTCCTCGGGAACTGACACTTCCCACTCCAACCGCTTCTCTCACTGACCTGCAAAATCTGTTGACTCTCCATGACCACATGACAATGGAGGAGGCAAGCTAAGGCTGCCTTTTGAGTGAAATGCTTTTGGATTTTTCCAGATCAGCAAAACTGTCAGAATTTCCTGCCTTAGGTTCACAAATGTCATTGGGGATGCAGGGGGAACTTACAAGCACTGCTCTCTACTCAGCTTCTAACCCCAGTTATTTTGACTGCATTGTGAAAGTGCCTATGACAGTATTTGAGTTCTCCTGCCCTCACATTTTACCAAAATCAAACCAAACACTTAACAAAACTACAAGTTGATTTTAATGGAGTTTCTGGCTTTATCACTTGCTCTGTTACCAACTTTGCATATCTTTTTGCTCTTATGCTGTTCCAAGTTGCCATTATTTCTTTTTTTTTTTTCCACTGAGGTAAATTTAACTTGTGACAATATGTGATTTTGAAGTGAACAACATAATAATTCAATATTTGCATATATTAAAAAAATGATCTCCACAATGAGTCTAGTTAACATCCATCACCATGTATAGTTACAATTATTTTTCTTGTGATAAGAACTTTTAAGATCTACTCTCTTAGCAACTTTCAAATATGCAATACAGTATTATTAAAATATAGACATCATTAATGTGATATCATTTGTTCTTTATGCTGAAAAGGGAATATCATTTTTTCTTCATTTCATTTTTGCGTATGGTAGAATTATATTTAACCATTTGGAGTGGTCCGCTTACCTAATATCTAAACAACTGAAGAAAGTTGGAAAGCTTTTCAGATTTATAGATGTTAAAGCAATATGATTATAGAACTTCAGAAATAGCTCTCTCCATTTATGGAACTCAAGATGGAATTAACTTTCAGAGCTGTGACAGAGATCAGCTTTTATGAGAAGACACCCCATGATTTATTATGTTGAAGAAAATATATTGACTGAGGTTAAGACAAGGTCTTCACACCAAAGAAATATGCTTGAGAGTGAATATCTTTGTGTTATTTTTTCCATTCAAGAATGACTATAATACCATCATTGTGGGTTTGATTTCCTTCTGGCTATATTGAACCCAATTTCTAAAGGACAAAGAGGAAATGGAGAGGGAAGGGGAAGAAAGGGTAAGTTTCCACAAGTTCTATATATTGAAGGCAGTGGTTGATAGTATATGCCTTCTAGTTACCCATGGACCCAACAGGTATTTATAGCATCTACTCCATGCCAGGTCCTCTGCTAAGTGCTAAAGATAAAATAGTGAATGAAAAAGACATAGCTCCTTTGTCACATGAATTTCTCAGAATAGAGAGGAAGAACAATTCATTGTAAATGGGAGGCTAATTATGAAAAAGAAAGTATAGATGTCTACTCAGCCAACATATAATGGGTCCTGAACATATAATTAGGACTTAACCTAATAAGAATGGGGAGGCCAAGAGAAAAGGATGATAAGAAGCATCTTTTTATGGAATTAAAATTACAGCCAAGGTGTGAAGAATAAGTAGCAGTTGAGCTCGACAAAGTTGGGGGACAAGGCAGAGGAGGGGAGAGAGGGGTTATATCTGGGAGTGATGGAGAAAGACAGGTAAGTCAAAATACAAAGAACGGCATATTATTCTAGTCCTTTAGTCTAGAACAGGAGTGGGTATACTGTGGTCTGCAGGCCAAATCTGGCCAACAGCTAGCTTTGTGAATAAAGCATAATTAGAACACAATCATGTCTAATCACTTACATAAGATCTGAGGCCATTTTCACACTACAATGCCAGATGTGAGGGGTAATTACAAAAGAGACTGTATGGCCTGCAAAACCTGAAATATTTACAAGCTGGCTTAAAAAAAAGTTCTCCAACCTTTAGAACATGTGATAGAACATGTGATAACTAACATATTACTAACATGGTTAGTAACATTAGACACCCTCAAGTCTCAGGCACTTAC